CTAAAAAATGTATATACTTAATTTTTTTTTTTGCAGATGTTAATAGCAGCTTTATTCATAATCACCAGAACTCAGAAGCAATTAAGCTGTTCTTCAGTAGGTGAATGGATAAATTGTGGTCCAGGCAGAAAATGGACTATTATTGGGTGCTAAAATGAAATGAGTTATCAAGGCATGGAAGGACACGGAGGAACCTTATATGCATATTACTAAGTGAAAGAAGCCAATCTGGGAAGGTTCTGCAACTCTCTGATTCCAACTGTATGGTGTTCTGGTGTTTTATGTTTATGTACAAAGGCACTGGCATTTATAAGATTTTGGCTTCATCAAATTGGCACTGGGGAGCTCACATCCCCACTGAATGTTGACATATTCTTTAATTTACAGCACTGAAAATGAGTGGGGGACGTCTATGACATCTATCACCCAGACCCCAGAGAAGTATGCATATAAGGTATATGATTGCCAGGCATATAGAGTAATAACATCAGATTTAGGGTATTATATTAAAAGTTGCTCTTAACTGTTTCTTTTTCTCCATAACAATTATCTTGGTTTACAGACACATCTAACAGTTTTCGTGGAGAAGCCTAAGAAAGACTGAAAAGATGTCTGTCAACGTGAACTAATGAAAAATTCAGAATTATAAAAGAAAACTGGTAGTTTTGTTTGTAGGCCATAGAATAACTTAGAAAAATTTTTCTTGTAGGCTCCATATGGAGATCTGCTGTGATAAACAGAGAGGATTGCATTGTATTTAATATTCCAAAGGCTACTATATTTGATAATGCTTCTAAGGGATTTAAAGTGTTTGATAAATAGCTTTCCACCTAAGATACTTTACATATTGACCCAATCTGGTTCATGTATTTAATTTACATTGTTAATATGCACTATTTAAAATAAAATAACTACTGGCTGATGATCTTCAGTCTCTCTGCACCATCTACACATTGCCCTGAACAGTTAAAACTTCAATTTGCATTGGGATTTAGGTCAGTAATAGAGAAGCTACTGCATGGATCCTCACTGCTTAAAGTGTGGTTCCCAGGCCAGTAGTATTAGCATCACCTGGAAGCTTGTCAGACAAAAATCTGAAACTTCACCCCAGGCCTATCAAGTCAGAATCTACATTTAAACAAGATCTCCAGGCTATTTATATGCACATTAAAATTTGAAAACACTAGTTTAGGGCACTCATCTCCAAAACAGGGTACACATTCCCCAAGGGGCGTCCAAGAAGATTTCTTGGGGGAATGTAAACAATAATAAAAACTTATTTATCTCTATATATTTGTATAATTTTGATTTTGTGAATTTTAATAATATGTATCTATTGCATAGTAGTACATGAATATAAATTGAAATAATAAAAATAAAATAAAGTAGCTAAAGGCAACATTTAGTCTAATTTATTCCTCCTTGAAAAAAACACAAATTCTGTTTTACTATAGCTTGGCACATACTGTGAGCTCAGCATTATAACACTATTAAGTTTGTTACCTGATACAAAAACCCTGTACCTGTCCTTGGGAAGACAGATATGTAAGATATCAGAGTATGACTGTACAATGAGACTAGAAGTGAGGGACTCCTACTGGGTGAGATTGTATGTAGTCCTGGGGCTAGTGTGTTCCTTGGAGATATTTTGGAAAATCTACCTGCGATGATTGGGAAAGGACACTTGATCACTTTTAAGACCCCTACCTGAGGGAAGGGCAGACCCATTAGAGAACAAAGTGGATACAGGTGAAGAAGGTAAAAGAGTTCGAAACCAGACCTGTCTCACCTAGCTCCACACCTCTAAATATTCCTAGGGGGTCACAGGTTGTTGACTCAATATCAATTACTTTATCTTACATTTGTAGCCCCTAGCAGGTCACAGTGGACTTTCACTCTGTAATTGATTTGATCTTCTTAACCTGTGGGGTTGGGGGAGCGAGTGTATTTTATTAACCTTTTTTCTTTTCTCATAACTACATAGATCTCAAATATAATGAGATCCAACATACCCATTTCAATGGAAAAAAAATAGACCCCAGAGGAGTGAGGTGACATTTCCCAAATCTAAAGGCTAATTAGAATCCAGATTTCCTGATGCCAAAACTCTACACTCTATTTACTATTCCTTACAGAGTCTTTATGCATCTGCTCAGTTCAGATACAGTAAGAATAGACCCACAGAAAGAATATTTTTAGAAAGTGTATCTATACATAAGTGTAAATAGCTTTTCTGTGTATCACTGCTATTTCGAAACATTGATCTAAAAAGGCTTAGTGAGTATCTTTTTGTTAATGCCCCCACTTGTCTGTCAAACTTTAGGCAACCTCTATCATCTGGAAGCCAGCCTCTATTTGGAAGTAAGTGGGAAAAACCTTGGAGCCGTGAGGAAAATAATTACCATAAAGACCACCCTCTAATGCTAGAAGATTCAAAGAACTACTCTCAGGCCCTACCCAAAATATATTGATTTATTTTTGTGCCCTAAATAGAGATAATACTTCAACCAGTTTAGCCATAAAGTTTCCTAATCTAAGCAAGTGAAATGATTTAAAGGGATGGATGACTGAGTCACTATTCATTCAACAATTTTTAAAGTGCCTACTATGCTCTGCTACACTAAATGCCAGAGAAACAGAGATGAAAGTGCTGAGAAGCAGACATAAAATTACAGTGACGTGATAAGTGCCACACCAAAGGATGGTGTAAGTTCCTGTCTGATCACAGAATGAGCCATGCACTGTTCTGTTTATGATGGTGAGACAGAGCTTCCAGAGCATGTGACACCTACTGAGTCTTGGAGATTGGGTAGGTAAGAAATAATCTGGTCCCTTTGGGGAACAGATTCATGTGGCTAGAGATGTGAATAGACAGAGAGGTAGGGCCTGGGTCTTGGGGGCTTTGTATGTTAAGGAGTTTAAAGAGTATTTCATAGGTGATGGAGAACCATTGAAGGTTCTAAACTGGAATGCACGGCTGGGGTAAGTCTTAAATTCTGAAAGTTCTATCTGAATATAGTTGTAATGTAGTCTGGAGTGAGACCCAGACACTGAGTACCAAGAAGGAGGAGGCTGCAATAATTCAGTTGAGAAATGCTAAGTGCCTCAACTGTAGCAGTAACCCTGGAAATGGAGGGAAAGGAACTGACTCAAGACAGGAGGCAAGCAGAGTTGGAAAGATGGTGTGATCTGGTGAATGAAAGGGAGAGAAGACTCCAGAGGAAATCCCAGAATTTATATTTGTCCAGTGGATGAATGAGGGACACAGAGTGGGGAACAGATTTAGGGTGAAGATAATCGTTGAAATTTTCAGGTGTAGAGTCATAGGTGACTAGGACATTCTGAAAATATTCATTAGGAAACTGGATCTACCAGCCTGGAGTTCAGGGCACAGGTTCAGGCTGGGACAATCATAGCAGGAAGTTGGCAGCTTTGGTGAAAAGCAGAAGGCAGAATAGACAGAAGGTTTAGAGAGCACAAAATTCTGGAAACGTTTGTGGACAAACTGCCATACATGCTTCAAGAGTTCCTGACGTATGTCCTGTCCAACAGCTTAGGACAAAATAACAGTTTCCTAATTCCTGTCCTCACTCTTGCTTCCCACAACATTCTCCAAAAAATAGGCCAGTGATATTTTAAAGTGTAGTCATATTATATCATTCTTTGCTTCTCAGAATCAAATCCAAACTATTTGGCACAGACCAATAAGGCTTTACCTGTGATCTGGTCCCTGCCTATTTCTCTGACTGGATCTCCTATCACATGACCCCTAGAGTGAATAACATTGTGATCTGGCCACTGGGCTCCTCCTCCAGGAACTTGCTGTTCCCTATGTCTGGAATGCTCTTTTCTAGGTCTTGCAGGTTGGCTCCCTCATCACCATTCAAATCTCTGCTGAAATGTTACTTCCTCAGAGACCTTCCTTGTCCAATCTAATGTATGTCCCTGCTCCCCCATTCCCCATTCTCAATCCCTTTACCCTGTTTTTGACTTTAGAGCATTGACTATTGTCTAAATGCATTTTGTTTACCATCTACTGTATTGGAAGTGGTGATGTACAAATGTTATCTTCTACAATTATTATTTTTAAGAGAAGCTGGGAAAGTGGGATAGGATCATATAGTTGAAGGTCTTGGATTCCCATTGAGGGGTTTTAATTTGCTAGTTTCCAAGGAGCTACAAAAATGAAGTAGATCATTGACCCTGTCAAATGTTTTAAAATGTTTGTTTGGTTAAGATATTATAAAACGTAATCACTCTATAATATTCTGCCCCTACACTGTACCCACTCACTGAGACACTATTCACTTTAATTGGTTACCTACATAGAAAATTCCTAAATACATGAACTGAATGACAAGAAAATTAAAAAATCTAGTCATAATACCTGAAATTAATTTGATGGCTTTAACTAGTTTTGCCCTAGAATTTAAAAGTTGGTCCCAATCTGCTTTATTATCTAGTCTCTTCTACATTTCAGTGTGGGAGTCATACAAAATCAAATGTCATGTAATTTTAAAATGAGGACCAACCTGTACCAAGACTGAGTCTTCTACACACTCAGTAATGCAGTTCTGTCCACAGCTTTAAGCCAAACCACTGGTGGACCCAACTGTGGTGTAAGCAGGCTAATGGAAGTGTTTTGAAAATGGGTTACACTGAGCTCTTTCAATAAGGTTGGGATTGGAAAGATCCTTGGACCTCTCAATTTAATTCCATTAAACGTTACAGAATATCAGATTCAGATTTTGGGACACCTAAATGAGTAAGACACATTTCTTCCCTTTAAGGCGGATGAAATCTAATCATTTAGCTCTGAGTGTATGCAGTACAGTTAAGTGAATTGTGTAATTTTGTATAAAGATCAACAGAGATTGTTTTTCTAAAATGACACCTCTTGTTCTTGTATTTGTTAGTCGATAAAGTGTTTGTAGATTTTTGTTTTTCTTTCCCTTAATCATTTCTGCTTTTCCAGGGATAAATAACTTTTTCAACATAAAGTACGTATAAATATAAAGTTTATTTAGCATAGTGTTTAGAAAAATAAGTTCACATCATTTCAGAAAACAAATAAAACAATTGTCCAGGCATAAACCCCTATTACAGTACAACATACATACTTTAGATCTCTTTGGTTGGGTAATTAAGCACAGAAATGTTCTTGGACATGCTCTGTGTGCCATCACCTAACAGTGCAGTAAAGACTCTGTTACCCCACCCCATGATATACATTCTGTATAGATTTTCTCTTTGTGTAAGGCACAGTAAAACCATATTGAGTATATAATTGGTTGCCTCTAAACATACAGTACATGCAACAAAAGAATACAAAAATTTTGAGGACCCTGAAAGCCAAAATAGTCACATGCTATTTAATTTTGATTGATAAAATTCATGGTGATAATATTAAATTAACATGAAGTGTATCAATTAGATACAAAATAACTGTTAAGTTCTATCATCTAAGTTCTAGGAAGACTTTGAAACAACTTTTACAAAATGTAATTCTTTTCCCCACAGTTTTCCTGAATTATTTATATTTTTATGATGAGATGATCTGTCAAAAACATCTTAAAGAATGAAGAACTTCTGGTTATGTACTAATGCACACTTGTCTAACATGTAGTAGGGCAGCCTGCAACACCTGCCCAATAATCCAGCTTTTAACATGCAAGACACAGGGGCATATACAGGGAGATTTTAAGGTCAGTGTGCAATTCAACTACGAATTTTATCTATGGCTATAACATCTACCTGCCTTTCATAACAGAAGAAAGGCACTGAATCATGTGTACAACTCAGTCTTTTTGTTACTATGGATATAAGTGAGCTATAAAGCAGTATAAGACAGGTGCTCTTGCTTGATTGAGGAACAAATGCACCTTCTCTTTAAGTGACAGACTGTCCTCTACTGGATGTAACTAAGAGCTAAATGCCACATTCTGGCTGATAAGAGTGCATAGATAGGCTCCTACCAAAAATCCCACAGCCAGCAACAGGGGTTGGGGTTTGCAGGGAGAGTTATTCACCCCTATTCTGATTCCTCTTTGGGGATCCTTAGAGGTGTCATTTGCAGCATCTTCAAGCATTGGTTTATGTCAGAGAGAAATTCTGCCACATGAACTCCAAGGGTTCTGAGTTTGGCCCTTGGTGTTGCAAAAAACCCAAAACCAAAACCAAAACCAAAACCAGAAAACCATTTGCAATTCTGTGCAAGGAGATCACGGGGTTTATCTTATTTCATTCACATATATACGGGCTACATACCAACTGGCCCTTATTTTACTGAAAGAATAGAAAAGAACAATAAGTTCTTTATAGTGTGCATTGAGTCTTACCTGGTATATTGTGTTGCTACCTGGAGTAATTGTAGGGGTATAATTACATCATGTTGGAATATGAATAGGTTTCTTAGGTAAGCCTTTAGTTTTGTGCTATCTTTTCTTTTTCTCAAGGAAGAAAAGAGGAAGAACTGTGAATAAAAGAGAGGCTTATTATATTTTTGGAAGACATAAAACTTTTCCAGTTATATATATATAACATATATAACCTTTTAAACCTTCCCATCTTTCTTATTGGATGAGTATTTTAAAATAATTAACAAACTCTTGATATCCACAGCAATCAAGTGGAAAACATCATTTTCATGTAAACTACACTATAGAACCATGTAATTAATCTCAGTAACATGATCAGCACACACCCAAAGAAACAAGCTGTATAAGTAGCAGTGGAGTGGAAGAGAATTCTGAAACACCTGACGTAAAACAAAACAAAACAAAATAAAACACATGTACTTTCAGCAGTTTAGGAACATTCACCAATTTCATAAAAAATGGGATCAAAGTTCTTTATCAAAATGAAGGGGGAGGAGTTCTTCATAGGGTTCTTCATTTATGCCTGCAAGTTCCATTTGCAATAACAAGAAAAGTTAAATCCTCTATGGCCCTTATTCAACATGCTCAGCTGATAGGCATGCAGAGATCTAGAGTGGACCCTTTGTTCCGATCTTAAGGAAAGCAAGATGTGGTGACATCTTCCTGTTCAACAACTTTCGGTCATCTCTGAAGGGATTATTTTCTCACTTTTCTTGCTTTTCAGAGACCATAGACTTTACTCACTACATAAATGTATTTGCATTGTTACACCTTGTGTTCAGAGTCCCGATAAAAACTGTAACCACAGCTCACAACATTATCAAACAAGCTTCTTACAGAAACCCCAAAAGATTTACTTTTAAAGAAGACATGATAACATAGTGCAAACAACAGTCATATGTCATAATGTAACACCTGTTTCAAAATATTTGGAACTAAGTTTCAACAGGACAGAATGTTCTACTTAATAGAATTTACGTTTTCTTTCTTTAAAATGGTTGTTTTCATGGCCTGCAGAATTGGTTTTACCCGGTAGTCTGTAACTGTTACTTTCATTGTAATGAAAAGTATCAATAATAATTAGTTGTTCAGCCGTTTGCCTCACAAACATTATCTACAATAATATAAGTGAAACTTAAGTTCTTCAGATTTAAAGCAATTCTGTGGTGAAATTAACCCTGTTGGATAGTAGGAAAGAGTCATCAGTGCTTCTGTTGACACTTCTGTACCTTAGTAAGAATAATAAAAAGGCCACAAGGTAAGGCACATAGAATTCTATAGAAAATATATTTAAATGAATCAGAGAGTTGCTAAATAAAGAAAAAGGACGTGGGGGGGGAGTACCAAAATTCCAATATTGGGAGTTAGATTTCCTGTTTCAGTGTTATTAATATTGACCTTAATAGACTCCTGATAAAAATCATTACTTTTAAAATCCTACAAAAAGTAAAACTTTGTTGGAAATAACTGTTCACTTCCTGTTCAAACAATAAAAATAAATTAAACAGTACGAAAACATTTTTCTTTTCAGTTCATAGTGTCTGAAGTATAAGAGAAACATATACAGCATAAATAAAATTCATTGTAATTACTCAAATCCTTGCTTATAGGACTAATATATTTACACTCACACTGAAGTTTATTTCAGAGTTTTTAGTGGAGTTGCAAACTTTCTCAGCCACACTGAACTATTAGCAATCACATTTGGAAATGTATAGAGACAAACCAAGACTTTCACAAAAATGCTGAAAAACAGAAAAGCATATATTCAAAAATATACCCTTAGGATAGTGGGGAGTACCATTTATGTTTCTTAACCTTACCAATGCCCATGGAGTAAAAGTAAACAAAAAGAACTGCATTGTTTCTAATGCTCTGTAGCAATATTTAATTTTCTACCTTAAGTGTATACACTTTTAATTAAAAAAAAACTATTTATCAAGTTACATCTGACCTTAGAATTATATTAAGTCAACCAAATGATACACTTTGATTTCTTGATCTATGTCATTTTGTTCCTCTGTCTCCATCTATTTAAAAGAGAACATATGTGAAGAAAAAGGTTGCAGTAATGCAGTTCTACTCCTGCATATTTAACTGTGATCTTCATGCAGATCAATCCAAAGTCTCTTGAATGCATTTACTTGTAAAACTAGTGTTTCCCTTTAAATGGGAAAATGCTTTATGTCCTCAGGGCTTCATGGAAAGATTTGCCTGCTGATGCCAGTGCGGGGGGGGGGGGGGAGTGGAAACACAAAATTAAGTTTACAAATCTTGCATATCTTCATCCAGTTGGACAGTCTGGAGCTTGGCAAGCTCTTTTTTGTCTGTTTCCAGGTCTTCACAGACAGTCTCAACCATGCCCTCTAGGACATACTTGGATTTGGAGTCCAGCATCATTAAGTTGCTTGTTGCTTTGTTTTCAGAATTTGTTAAGAAATTCTCTTTTATGTTAGCTACTGATTGCATAACCAAATGATGTTCTCTGACAAAATCCTGGTGTACTGTGGGGGATGGGTGACCCACCTGGTCTTCGGCTGTGGGAACTATTTCCCCAAGGGCAGCCTGGGTCATGGGGACTGATAATAGATCTTGACCAGTAATAAGGGAGCAGTTCTGAAGAGTTGCATAGTTAGTGTTGCTGACAGATGTCACAGTAGATTTGCTTGCCACAGGTGCAGACATTGGCTGGCTACCAGCAATGTCAGAGTTTAGCTCAGTGGGATTTAGTAGAGTAGGGGGAGTCAGGGAAAAATTCTGAGTTGGGGATACATTAACTAATGAGGAGGACAGTGGGTGTAGGCCACTCCCCGAGATAGTTTCAGAAGACAGGTTTGCATTTACTTGTGCATTCTGATTGACAGGCATCAACTGAGAAAATACCAGGCTCCTCTCCAAGCCCTCCTGTTTAACAGATCCTATAGTCTGGCCTGAATTAGGAACAGTGTATACCACTGCACTGGGAGCAAGAGAGCTCAAGAAAACCTTTCCTTGCTGGACTGTGGTGGATTCACTTGTAAATGTGCTCCCATCTGAAGTGCTTGAATTTACTGAAATATTACCTAAAAAAATAAAGTACAGATTATCACTGATGGAACTGAAAAGGAAAGAAAAAGTTACTTTTTTTACACACATGATTCACCTTGACCACTTAAAACTACAGATTCCCAGGATTTGCTCCTGAGAATCTGACTCAGTAACTCTCAGAACAGGTGTATTTTTAACTCCCCGAGTAATTCTGGTGGCAAAGTAGGAGCGAGAACTACTGATTTAGAAATCAAGTGTGAGAAAAATATCTTTTCCAAGTTCTAATTTCAGCCAAGTTTCTGGTTCATTATTACCAAGACTTGATATCTCTCAATTAGCTGATAGTTGTTGCTAGCTCTGCTAGTTAGAACTAGAAAACACAAATGCAAAATAAAACGCCTTTATCCAGGACAAGCTCAGTAACTGACACAAAACATAAACAGAGATGTAGAAGATACCACCTAAAATGAGTTACCCTGGGGCTTAAAGTTAACCATATAAACCTGCACAGGCAAGCTGCAAACTTTCACCAAACTAACCATAAAGTAATGTCGAGTCAACAAAATACGCAATATGTTTTTTTTCCCTTTTATGCTAATTCTGAATTTTCAGTGTTGTAGTGACAGAAAGAATGAATAATAATGAAATGTGCTTTTTAAAATACAGATTAACTAAAGAAATAGAGCTAATGCTTCTCTAAAAGGTTTGTATCTTTTGAGGCTCTCACTATAATGTTCTACAGAGACCAGAAGTAGAAAAAGAAAGGTAAGTAGGAAGCTGAGATGTTCAAATTAGCTAACTTAGACAATGTAGATGAATTAGACCCTCCCCCTAACTCTCATCATCAAATAAAACACTTTTTCTTCTGAGTCTTTACATAGGCACTGTGAAATAACGGCAATTATCTTGCCATTAAAAGAAAGGTAGACACGGAGGGGGTTTGTGACAGGATAATTCAAATGGGTTATTTACCCTGATTGTGAATTAGATGTTCAGTAAACTCATTATTTTGAGAAAACAACCCAATGTTAAAGTAAATATTATTTGGAGAAAGCCCAATGTTAAAGGTAATTCACCTAAAACATTTCTCTTTTTGAATTATTAGAATTGTGTTATATTGCCAGCTATATTGATAAATAAATGTCACAGGGCTGTTTATATGTCTTCTGAACATTTTTAAGCACCCTAAAAGCAAAGGAGTGTATTTAAACAAACAAAAAATGAAAACATTTTATTTGCACTTAAAAACATTTCTACATATGTTTGAGCTCTTCCCTAACATAAATCTTTGTTCCAGGCCAAATAAATGAAAAAGGTTTTAAAATTCTTGTTGGTTACTAAACTGCAGCAAAAGACATCTGAAATAGGTGTTTACTTTGTTGTGTGTATGTGTCTGTGAAATTGTTTGCCAGCCGATATGTGAACAAAATGATTCATTATTTTTCGATAGGGCCATATATAACATAAGAGATGTTACATTTTCCCAAACTGCTATTGAATATAAATAAAATTTCTGAATGGGCGGATATTATAACATACATAAATGCAGGAGGAAAGCAGACGTGATCTAAAAGTTGATATTTAAGTATAGCTGCAACTGAATTATAAATTGAACCTGCAACCGACTTCAGAATTGAACAGTAATTTCAAGTGAAAACCCAAGTGAAAAATGACATAGGTACTAAGTATAACTTTATAAGGATGCTTTAAAAAAAAGCCCTTATTTTTAAAATCCTTTAAAGATGTAGGCATTCTGCTTTTCTATATAAATTTCAACTACAGAAAGATAATCTACCCTGTCCAGTCATTTTTTAAGAAAGGCTCAGTATCTGCTTTAAGACAGGCTGAATCCCCAAAAGCTTTATTGAGAACTGTAATACACAATTACTACAAGGGAATGTTGCTTTCTGGATCCATCTGGTTAAACTTATGTCTTCAACTCACCCAGACAGTCTAAGGATTGACGGCTCTGTCATTTGATCTTAGCTATTTTAACTGAAAATGCTGCTCTTACTCATATTAAATGTCCCATTTTGAGAATTAGCCATTAGTCTGTAATAATTTTCTATGGCAGCACTTTTTTAGATTATGTGTGAGAAATATCCCTCCTTTTCTCCTCCCCAATGTACATACTATGCTTTTTGTTCAAATTTTGTTGTCTTTAAAATGTTACCTATTTGGAAATTTCCTAAAGAGAGAAAAAGGGTTAGATCTACATTAAAATATTATAAAACTAAGCACTTTGGCTTTCCCTGTGGTTTTCCTATTTCTGTCCTATGTTGGATAGTGACTTAGCTTAATCCTTTCCATAGCCTGGAACAATGAAGAAATAAATAGCATGCTGCAGGGCTGTTGTGTTATACTATACTACCATTTTACCCAAAGAGAAACAAATGTACAGAGTGGAATTTACTCCACAACAATTTTTCTATTAATGCCTCAAATAAACTGAAGTAGATCATAGCTGTGGAAACCAGAGTTGTGCATAGATTGATTTTGGTTGGGGGGATAAAACTATTTTATAGGAAGATGATCTTTAAGGCAAATAATTATTTATTTTGCTTTGGTAAAAATCTGGACTTTCAGATTTGCTTCCAGGAAGGCAAACATGCACCAACATCTCCCACTCCTGAATTCAAGGGGCCCTGCAACCTCCACTGCTGTTCTAACCATTCCTGTTTCTATGGAGAAACAATGACACAGAGCCATCCAGATTTGCTTGAAGTCATGGAAGAACTGGCATATCAGCCTCAAGTTTCCTGCATTTCAGATCAGTGCTTTCTCTAGCAGGTGCCTTAGTAAAGCCACAAACGTATAAAATAAGGCTTACAGTTGCCTCCAGAAGTGAACGCACATATTTAGGGGGCAAGTATACATGCAGAGCGATAGACACCCAATCACACATTCCTCTGGTTTTCCTTTAGGTCTGTTAGTCTTATAGGAGGAACATGAATCAAACACAAATGATCCAGTCTTTCTAGATTGCTCTTCTAAAACATCTTTTGGTCAAATAAATAATGCTTACGTGAAGTGTACACATTCTTACCAACTGCTTGACTCATTTTGTGTTCTTAGCAATATTATTAATTTTTAATCTTAAAAGGTCAAGCGATGGGTTATTTTGTAAGCACTGATTGACTTAGCATATTTCTATAATTGTAGAACTGGCAGGACTCACTGTGAACTGTATTTTTCCATTCAGTTGTTGGGAAAATAAAATCCCACCCCCATGATGCCAGGGAACAAAGCAAGCTGGATATTACATGGATGTTGTGAAGAAGGAGAAACAAATCAAGGCTATTCTGCAGCTGTGGCAGCCAGTAAGGTACCTGAACAGTAACAGCAATCTATAGCTCTCACCAAGTGTGTCATTTACAGCATCTGGCTAAAACATTTACTGGTGCATTATGGTACCAAACAAGACTTTTACCTTGTGAAGCTGCCACTGAAACAGGAGGCAGTTGCAGTGGAGAGAATCCAATGCTCCCATTAAGGAATTGGCTGTTTGCTCCGGAACTGGGGATCTGGACGATGCCATACTGGTTAATTTGTACTGGTGTGGTAAAAGTCACTACAGAGCCTCCATCCTGGGAAGCCACTGTTTGAATACCTTCTCTTTTCACCTCAGTGCTGGGTATCAGCCCTGGGAAGGACACTGGAGCACTGGGGCTGTAGGAGGTGGTGGCTGCTGAATTAGCTGAAGAACTCTGGAGAACTTTGAATTCCTTCACATCCTGGGAGGTAGACCCCAGTATGTCAGTCATGGATATACCATTGTTCACAATGTTTGATGCCATTTTTGGTGGGCTCAGTGACACTGTCTGTGTATTTCCCACACTTAATCCATTAAGGATAACTCCATTGGGTCCCTGAATGAAAGAATTACCATTAAGGAAGACAGGTGAAGTACTTGCAGGTACCAAACTTCCGTTCAACAAAACTCCAGAAGAGCTTAATGATATTTTAGCATTTCCAATTTGTTGCATATATACTGGCTCCATGTGACTGGAAAGGCTGAGGTTGGTGACACCATCAGATGAACCGGAGAGTGGATGAGGAGACAAATCTTCATGACCCTTGCTGGATTCATCTTCAGTGCTAGGATTGCCATCTGACTCACTGTATAGAGGGGGAAATCAAGACATTCAGAAAGTCAGGGGCACAAAATTCTACATTGTGTCATTTGTTTGGAAAACCAGCTTCTAACCCCGTTAAAGGCAGTATTTAAGTAAAGTGCAGCAGGAAATCCTTTAGTCTTATTTTAGCTATGATGCTTTTCAGTAGATTCTGACCAGACAATCTGGGAAAATGACCTCTCATAGCCCAATCATTTTTATTAATAATAAATTGAGGAAAAATCCAGAGATCTGAAAGATGTAAACTCAGCTAATAGGATTTACAGGAAAATTGGAAATACATTCTTATATCACTGAAGTTATTCCTGACTGTTAAATATGCTGCTACCTATAGCATAGAAAAAACTCATTAAAAGAGGCTGTAAGTCTTTTCTCTTTGGGAAGTCTTTCCCTTCCCCTCGAACCAATTCAGCTTAGTGTGATTTTGGAGGTAAATGAAACTGCCAAAGGAGCAGGAGGTGGGAAGTACTGTTTTGTTCGCCAGTTAGTGAACAAGAGATCATTCTCTCACCTGCTCCCAAACTTCTACTCCACCAGACTGACAACTGTCTCATTCAACAAAGTGGCTGTCCTTGTAGGAAAAGCACTTTCAACCCAAGAACCGTTAATGTGCAGCCGCCTTTGAATCCAAAGGAAGCCATAGGGGTCTATTTAACATACACCATCCAGTGCCGAGGTGAGGTGGGGGGGGGAAACGGTGTGGGTCACTCAGAGGCCTTGTACCTATCAGACCTCCTTTCCCTGGCATCCTCAGTCCTTGTTCTGTTCTGGACAAGACTGTGTTCCTCAGCTCCCCAATTTGGGGAAAACAACACATCCGGGGAGGGGTAGTTTCCCAAATAGGGGTTTCCCATTTGGGCCGGACTGGGAGGGAGAGGAAAGGGGGGTCGGACAGAGGCAGTTTGGAGCGCGGTAGGACTTGGCCCAGCAGAGGATCCGACATCCCAGCAGTGCCCTACGGTCAGTTCGCTTTCTTGCCGAGGGGAGGGGATTACTCGGGCTTTGGGCTGCGGGGCCAGGAGCGCAGAAAGCGCTTTGATTTACGAGCTGAGGCTGAGCCGCCGTCGCCGTCTGCGAGGGTGACTCACCGGGGGTGCGGGTGGGAGGCAGATCCGGAGAGGGGCCTCAACCAGGCAACTGGGCCGGGGGCGGGGATGTGGAGATGTGGGGAGGGGTGCACAAAGCCCGCAGAGTGTGGCGGGGGAGACTGGGGGAACGCGCCCGGCGGGGGAGCCGAGGCAGCCCGGCTGCTGGCCTGCGCGCCGCGCCCGCTCCTCACCCCCCCGCCCCCTGCCCGGCGGATTCCTTCGGCTACAGGATCCGCTGCCTAAAGCAGGCGCCGGGCAGGTGGTGTGGCGTTACCAACGTGCCTCCTCTGGGTCTCCCCGCAAT